GAGAACAGGAATCTAGCTCTCAATCATGCAGACAAATGTAGCACACGTGAGGGCTAATTCTTCAATCACTACATAACATCAGAACACTGTTCCAAGACTTCCTGGTTCAGGAGAATTGGGATTTCATGTGTGTAAGGATTAATACTACCTGCCAGCATGGCAGTGTCTAGAATAACCTAGGACTCTAAGCACATATGGTGGGAACTATTAATACTGAATTTGGTAGGAAAAAAAAACCCTCTTAAACATGGATGACTCTGTTCCCAGTGTGAATAGAAAGAATAAAGCAAAGAGAACGTCAGTACACGCCCCCTCTCTGCTTCCTTCATACGAATGCAATGTGGCCAGTTGCCTCATGTTTCTGCTGCCATGCTTTCCCCACCAAGATGGCTTGGATTATCAAACTGTGAGTCAAACACACCCTTTCTTCCTCAAGTTGTTTTGTCTGCTATTTTCTCACATCAATGAGAAAAACATGTATACTGAGATTTTCACATTTATCTTGAAACACAACCACTTTTTTTTCATGATGTCATTTATTTTATTTTAATTTTTTTCTTGTCTCTTCTTTATACATATGTATATATATATTTTTTTATTAATATTTTTTTATTTTCCATTTTAAATTTAGATAAGAAACAAGGTTGCTTCACAAGTCAGTACGAGGTCCCTTTCCCTTTCCCTCCCCTCCTCCCGTGCCCTTCCCCCATCCCCCCCGTTATCCCCTCATTCCCCCAGGGAGGGTGAGGCCCTCCATGGGGGTGTCCATAGTCTGTCATTTCATATAGGGCAGGGCCTAGACCCTTCCCCAAGAGTTCAGGGTGAGAGTGCACCTCACATTGTTCTATGGGAGTCCAGAGACCGTGGAAACACAACCACTTTTATGATTGCTACTTTACTGACAAAGAAATCAAATCTAGATTGATTAAATGACTTGTCCAAGGTGGAATGACTATAAGATTCAATCATTTGAATTCAAACTCCAATGCAACTCCAAAACACATTCCACTTCTATGTTTGAAGATGAAAAGGCACTGGGAAAAGCTGGGCACTGAAGAAAGTATAGGAAGGAAAGGAGGAGCAAGTTTTCTGGACTTACAGCAGAAGCTGCAAATCCTAAGAATGGCCCAGAGGCAGTTAAGACTGAATACTGAGGCTGTTTCCACAGCACCAAAACATTAATGATTTAAAGGGAAAGGGCTTCAATATAATATAAATCACATAAACTAGAACAGAATAAAGGAGAAAGAGAGAAATGGGGCTGTCCTCATCATTTCTGTAAGGTTCCTCCCTTATGGCTCTTTGCTACAATATGGCTGATATCTATGCTTTATTAATTCAAGAAACACATTTTTCCCTTTCCTTCTCCATTCTCCTTCTCTGGGCAACTTCTAAGATGTAAAATGTTTACCTGACCTGAGATGTTTTTTCTTTTCAGCTATAATAAAAGTCTTCAAGAGTTTCCCTTTTATCTTATTATTAAATACTTCAATTAAAGAAACTAGGAACCCCAAGAGGGAAACCCAATTTCTCCAGTATCATCAGGACACATCTTCCCAAGAGCAAGTTCCTCCAGGACTACAGCACCAAATCAGCAAGCTACAAGATCAAGTACACATTCTTCTTTAGCTATGACTGGATAAACGATCAAATAATAAACCCCAGGAGATGCAGGCTTCAGAAGCACAGTTCAGAATGAGTAAAACCTTCTATGTTCTTATTCTTGTGTTACTTTAGAGAGTTTAATATTTTATACTATAGTAATATACACATTTTAATATCAAAATATGTTTTAATGGAATAGAAAAATCCTAAATGTGGGCACTAAAATACAAATATGTGCTTTAAATAAATATTGTGTTTAAATGCACAAATCCATTCATAGAAAAAATTCTGTACATTTCTAAGATTTTAGTAACTAAATATCTTGATTTTGGATTATGATTTGCTTTAGCATTTCTTTATAATTTCTCCATTCTTAAAAATTTCAATAGCAAGCATTTATTAATTTTGTAACAAAAAATCAAAGTGTAGACTGTAAACAGAGGCAGAAGTTTTCTTTTGTCCTGACTGCCTAGTTCCAAATTAACACACAAAAGATTATATTAATTAGAAAACATTTGGCCTATAGTTCAGACTTATTACTAACTAGCTCTTATATTTGAATTAACACATTTCCATTAATCCATGTTCTGCCATTTAGCCTTGGTTTACCAGTCCTCTGGCATTTGTTTCTTTGGTGGCAAGCTTGTCTCTCCCAACTCCACCCTTCTCTTCCCTGTGTTTTTCGTTTGGCTTTCCTATCTATTCATATTCTGCATTTCTATAGGCCAAAGCAGCGTGTTTTTCAACCAATGAGAAGAAAACATATTTGTAGGCTCTGTAGCTACAGCATCTGATTAACGTAAAGATTGATGCAATACAGAGTGTCCAGTTAATGTTTCAGGGGTATGGATTATGACAGGACCAAAGGGCATTCATGGTTCCCACTGGGTGGATAGGTGCTTGGTTTGCTACCTGCAGCAAGTCATGAAATTTTGATATTCTCTTTCTTCCATACAAGATGGAGATTTTCTTAAAAAACTATTTGCTTAGATTTTTCTGGTAGAATTAACAGAGATAATATTTATAAAATCCCTGAAAGGTCTGAGCTCAGTAGTTGGCAGCCATTCCACAACCCCTGAATATATGTGACTCAGCATTAGGCATTTGTCTCCTTTGCCTTCTCTGTTATAAAAAAGCACCTCTTTTTGGAAAACAAGATAGAGAAGGAATTTGCATCTAAAAACCTTAGAAATCATAAAAGTATATTTAGTGAATTAGAATTTCCCAGAATAGTCTATAATTCTGTTTTTTTTCACTAAGATTCCATGTGTGAGTTATGTTTTGCAAAGAAACAAGACCCATTGAAAATCCCAGTTCTATACTAAGTTGTTGAGTAGGACTAGGTAACAACAACCAAGAATAGCAAAGAATACAATTTCTATTCCTGCTCTAAGGCAACTACAAAAAAGTAGCTAGCAAACAGTCACTCTTCACTAGATACAGTACTATGGAAAACTAACAAATACGAAACAAGAAACTCTACAACATGAAAATGCTAGTCCTTTTTTTTTTTAATGCCAGTGTCTGGTTCTTTGCTTTCAGCTGGAAAAAGAGATGAGAATGATTTTTCATCGCTTCTTGCAGTGGTTTCACTGCATTCTCATGGCTGTGTTCCTAAATTTACTGTCACATGGACATCCATGATGTCATTTCTTTGTATGTCCTTAGTACCTTGGGTGTTATCTGACTAGAAAGTGATCTATACGTATGCTGCCTTACTGAAGAGGAGCCTGGAGAGCAAATACTCAGTGAGATATAACAGATCTGACTGCTGTGTCCTCACATGGTGCATCTGCCATCTCTGAAGACCAGGGCATGAAAGAACCTGTGGGTATTAGTGTCTCTCTGTGTGTGTGTGTGTGTGTGTGTGAGAGAGAGAGAGAGAGAGAGAGAGAGAGAGACAGAGAGACAGAGAGACAGAGAAACAGAGAGACAGAGAGAGACAGAGACAGAGAGACAGAGAGACAGAGAGAGAAACAGAGACAGAGAGAGAGCGCGCCAATTATTGGCAGTGACTCATAGTAGGGCTACCAGCAAAACTAAATCCTAAAAAACCTATCACATCAATACTTGGCACTGTAGACTTATATTATAGAATACATTAACAATGAAATGCCACTTTTAAATTTTTGTTTTACTTGTGGAGAGGGCACATGTATACCACCGTGAATCTGTGAAAATCAGAGGACAATAGGTTGAAGTCATTTCTTTCCTCCTAGCATGTGGGGTCCAGGGATTAATTTCAAACTATTGGACTTGGCACCAAAGTACTTTACCTGCTTAACTGCATATGCCATTTTGAGACCTGTGCAATTAATTTGTAAAGAAGTTACATACTCTCGGGGTATTCCATAAAAACCACTGTCTCTGATGAAGATGAAGATTTGCAAGGAAACTACAATTCCCAGACAAAGAAGCTGTACCTATATTGAATATTGTACAAAGCAAATTGATTGAAACTTCGGTAATTGGGGATAACTCAAAATGTTTCAGATCCAGTGCACATTTACCTTCAGAAATATTGGCCTATTGAACAGCAACTTATTACCCAACTCTGTGTATAATGAAACATTCTTGTGAATCTCTGAAATTTATGAAGTTACCCCTATACCTCATGAACCCAAAGTCTAAGAAAAACATCAGACCACATGTGAGGCTCAGAGCAGAGACACAGTCAGCTTTCCTGAAATCCTCCCACCTGATGCTTGACTAGTATATAGAAAAGTGTCCTGATTTACAATAAATCACTATGAAACTATTAGCATGATGGAACATGGAATTTGTGGTGACCTACATCTGTTTTCTCAGGTCATGAATGGTCACTTCAGTTTGGTTCCTGAGTAAACTATCTCTTTCCCCTTTTGAGGTAAGGGCTGTGTTTTATAGGTCTTCACTTGCTTCTCCAACATGCCCGATTATCTCTGATCTTCACAGTTCCTTGGTGTAGTAATCTCACTCCCATTTCACTTATAAACTACTGAATCTCAAGAAGGTAGGACTCACTCAAATACAGTCCACAGAGCCATCTGAGTGAATTTCCACTTTTGTGAATCAGGACTTCCCACTGACTTTCATGCCATGTATTTTGTTTGTCTGCTTTGTTCTTATCTCCTTTTCTTTTTGTTGCTAAGTTTTAACAGAGAAGGTGACCTTGACAAGCTCTACAGAAGACAGAGGGTAATTCATTCTTGTTTCAGGGAATAATGTCACAAACATTACCAAGCTCCCTCTTCCCCCTTTCTTGAAAATTACTAAGCTAATTTCTAATATTTGTAAAGGCAGCATCATTCCTCCTCTGGAGCTAGTCCTGTAAGATTCTCTTCACTCAGGTATTCCTTTCCAACTCATACCAGTAGTTGCCCAGGTTACATATGCTTGAAAAACATGGCCCTTACCAGTGATATTGCAGTACACCTGGAGAGGTCCCAGTGGCCCGCTGCCATCAGAGTCCACATAGAAGAAGCCAGCCTTGTTCCCTCCGTATCGGTACACTTCACAGGATTGCTCATAGATGGCTGGAAAGACAGAAAGGCAGACTTTATTTGGCTCTTAATATCCCTCTGCAGGGGTCAGTAGCTCATACTTTAGCTTACTTCTCAGACTTCCTACTTTCCTTTCCCCTACAGCCTCAAGAGTCTTTACAGCCCAGGGTTCTGGTACTTCATGAGCTTACACCCTATTTTAGTTTCATTTCTGTTGCTGTGATAAAACACTTTGACAAGAAAGCAACATAGGGGAGAAAAGGCTTATTTAGGTCACTATTCTAAGTTGCAGTCTATCATTGGGGGAAATCACAGTTGCAGGAACTTGAAGGAGCTAGTCATACCACATTCACAACCAAATACACTAAGAAACAAATGCACGTTCGTCTACTTGCTGGCTTGCTTATATACTGCCTGATTTCTCCATTCAAATAGTTTAGAAACTATGCTAGCATTTTGCTCAGGGCTTGGTTTAGGCCCTCCCCCAAGAGTCCAGGCTGAAAGAGCATCCCTCTTTGTGGTATGGACACACAAAGTCCATTTGTACACCAGGGAAAAATACTGATCTACTGCCCAGGTCCCCATAGATTAGACAGGCTTCTTCACTGACACCCACACTCAGGGGTTCTGGATCAGTCCCATACTGTCCTCCCAGCTGTTGGTCTGGTGTCTAATAGCTCCCCCTTGTTCAGGTCAGCTGTTTTTGTTGAGAGTGGGGCTGAGGGTACAGAAGGAGGGGAGGGAGAGGGAGCTGGAATTGGCATGTGATTCAAGCTTGTTTTTAGGTAAAAACATGTAAGAAGAAAGAAAGGAAAGAAAGAAGGAAGGATGGACCAAAGAAAGAAAGAAAGAAAGAAAAAAAGAAAGAAAGAAAGAAAGAAAGAAAGAAAGAAAGAAAGAAACTATGCTGGTTGGGCTACTGTCAACTGGACACAGCTAGAGTCATTTTAGAAACAGAACCTCAATGGTGAAAATGCCTCCAGATGACTGCAGTGTAGGGAACTCTTTAGGGCCCTTTATTTGTTAACAGTTGATTTTGAAGGGTGCAGCTCACTGGAGGAAATGCCACCCCTCAGAATATTGTCCTATGTGGCATAAGAAAGCAAGATGAACAAGCCATGTGAGTAAGAGAGTAAACAGCACAACTCCAGTGATTGCCTTCAGTCACTGCCTCCAGATTCATGTCTTGAGTTCCTTCCCATACTTCCCCTCATGAAGAAACATAACTGTGAGCTAAAATGAGCTATTTCCTTATGGTCTTTATCATAGCAATAGGAACCTAACTGAAACAAGGACTCCTTGTCTAGAGAATGGTGCCATCCAAAGTAGACTGGATCTTCCCACTCCAATTAACTTATTAAGAAAATCCCCTGCAAACATGTCCTCAGACCAATCCCATTATAGACAAATCCTTCTTGAGCTTCTCATCTCAGGTGATTCAGGCTGTATCAGGTTGACAGTAAATGATACCCATCACACACAATTAGTTTTATAATTCATTTATTCATTCATTCTTCTAAGCCCATTTCTGGGATATATCTATCCTAAAATCTCCCCTCCTGTTTGTTCCTTTTTTTTTGTTTTTTGCTTATTTACATTCTTCCAATATGTCCCTATAATGCACTAAGAAAGGATCACAAACACACTGGTCTATCTTCTAGAATGTGCTAAAGAACCTCTGAGAATAATAGTTGTGTGTCATGTGACATTTCATCACAGCATCTAACATATCCCTAATGGCAGCGGGGTTCAACACATATTTGGCTAGTGAACTTAAAATTCACATATGCTGTTATGTTTGTTTAGCAATCAAATATGAGGATACTGTCTTGGTGTGTGTGTATGTGTATGTGTGTGTGTGTGTGTGTGTGTGTGTGTGTGTGTGTGTGTAGATTTTTTGTCTGTTTCTGTGTGATGCCAATAGTCAACATTAGTGGTTCTTTTTTACTGGTCACAACTTTGTTTTTTTCTTGCATATTTGTGTAGGATGTTTTCTTCTTGCATATTTGTGTAGGATGCTTGGCCACTGTGCCTTAAGGATCTGTCTGTCAACACCTCAACATTAAGTTTACAAATGTGTACACCATGCCTGATTTCACACTCAGGTCCTCATATTTGCAAAGCAAGCACTTTACCAACAGAGATAGCCCGTGCTAAAATGGATGTTCTCTTATATGTATATATGCCAAGCTTAAGAAGGTAACTGATAGAATATTGTATCCAGGTTCAATCAATTTTCACCTAACAAAGTGCTAATTCATAGATGTGTGTCAACAGGTATGGTTTCACCAAGGGATAGAAACACAGATAAGACTATCAGCCTGTGCCCTAGACTTACAGGACAGGACAGCACAGAGGTCCATGCATGCTCACTCAGGAACTAGAACAGGAGGAGGTCACAGGGGTCATGTCATATAGTTCGGTTATTTAACTGAGATATAGACTTGACTGATATTAATCTCATTAAACCAACACTAACAGATATGAAAAAATGTAGAGGTCATGGCTTGAGAGACATATTAACCATCTTAGGCATGAAAATATATTTTATACTTCATACAAAACCCCATAGTTCAGAGCAGCATGTGTGCACTGAATTATGTCACCTAGCCATGCTTAAAACACTTCAGCGGCTCCTAACATCGTTCAAGATAGAGTAAAATCTTGTCACCTTAGCTGACTTCTGCCCCTGTGACTAATGCCCCATCCCAGGAATATGAAGCTACCATTCATCATGATCAAGTATGAGGAGTGTTTCAAATAATTCATTACCAGTCAAGTCCTGAAGCCTGAGAGAGTTGGAAATTTTACACTTTGGAGTAAAGTCAAGGTTATACTTGTTTTCATGGAACTCTCTCTTGTATTCGTGTATACTTTCTGAAGCAGAGGTAAATAAAAGTGGCACGGTATTTTACCTAAACTGAACACAACTAGTTTCATATATTCTTGCTAAAACCTGGTATATCCACTGGTAAAGTGCTTGCCTGGAAGAAAATGATCTTCAGAATCTGTGCAATGCACTTTGGTGTGCACCATGCATGTGAATGTCTACTAGGTATGGGTAGCCATCACAGAACACATCAAACTCAAAGGAGGACAAGCACATGGAAAAAGTTGCCACTGTTTTTTTCTCATGAGCATGAAAGGGAAATAACACCCACCCAGCATCTGAGCATTCATTTAAATGTGGAGAACACTGAACCAGTGAGATAGTTCAGTGAGGACATTTGCACATAAGCCTGATGATGTGAGTTCTATTCGTGGTATTTACATGGTGGCAGAAGAGAACAAGCTGCTGCAGTGTCCCCTTCATGCTCATGAGATCAAGGATGCCAGCCCAGACTACTATATCCAGCAAAGCTTTCAATTAACATAGATGGAGAAAGCAGAATAATCCATGACAAAGCCAGATTTAAACAATATGTACCCATGAATCCAGCTCTACAGAAAGTTCTGTAAGGTAAACCTAGACCCAACGAAGATAATTATACTCAAAAAGACACAGGCAATAGATAATCCCACTTTACCAAACACCAAAAGAAAAAGGGAGGAGAACCTACACACAATAACTCCACTACCAATAAATCAAGCACAAACAATAATCATCAATCAATGGTCATTAATATTCCTCAATGTCAATGGTCTTAACTTGACTATAAAAAGACACAGACTAGCAGAATGGATACAAAGACAGAACCCATTCTTCTGCTGCATACAAGACACACATCTCAACATCAAAGACAGATGTTACCTCAGAGTAAAGGGTTCAGAATAGATTTTCCAATCAAACGGAGCCAAGAAACAAGCAGGTGTAGCAATACTAATATCTAAATAACTACACGTCAAATTAAAACCAATCGAAAGAGATGAAGAAGGACATTTCATATTCATCAAAGGAAAAGTCCATCAAGATGAAGTCTCAATTTTGAACATCTATGCCCCAAATACAAAGGCACCCACATTCATGAAAGAAGCACTACTAAAGCTCAAACTGCACATAAAATCTCACACACTCCTCTCTCACTGCTAGACAGGACCTCCAGACAGAACTTAACAAAGAAACAAAAGAACTAATAGAAGTTATGACCCAACTGGGTTTAACAGATATCTATAGCACATTCCACCCAAACACAAAGGGATATACCTTCTTCTCGGTGCCATAGGAAACCTTCTCTAAAATTGACACATAATAGAAAACATAGCAAATCTCCACAGATACAAAAAAATTGGAATAACTCCCTGTATCTGATCAGACCACCATGCATTAAAATTAGAATTCAACAATAACACAAATCACTTAACCCTACAAACTCATGGAAACTGAACAATGCACAATTGCAACATCCCTGTGTAAAGGAAGAAATAAAAAAAGAAATCAAAGACTTCCTGGAATTCAATGAGAATGAAGACACAACATATCCAAACTTATGGGACACTCTGAAAGAAGTGCTAAGAGGAAAGTTCATAGCACTAAGTGCCCACATGAAGAACAGTCACACTAGAAATTAATAGCACAGCTGAATGCACTAGAACAAAAAGAAGCAAATTCACCCATGAGGAGTCGATGCCAGGAAATAATCAAATTAGGGGTGGAAATCAATCAAGTAGAAACCAGGAAAGAATTGAGAAGAATTAATGAAAGTTGGCTCTTTGAGAAAAATCAACAAAATAGACAAACCTCTGTCCAAACTAACCAAAAGACAGAGAGTGTGCATGCTAAAAATCAAAATTAGAAATGAAAAGGGGGACATAACAACTGACACTGAGGAAATCCAGAGAATCATCAGTGCATACTTTGAAAATCTGTACTCCACAAAATTCAAAAATTTAAAGGAAATGGACAACTTCCTGGATAGAGGTCACTTGCCAAAAGTAAATGAAGAACACATAAACAATGTAAACAGACCTATAATGCTTAATGAAATAGAAGCAGTCATCAAAAGCCTCCCAACCAAAAAATAATGCCCAGGCCAGATGGCTTCAGTGAAGAATTCTACCAGAAATTCAAAGAAGAGCTAATTCCAATACTCCTC